CTGGTGTGTGCGTGCGTGTGTGTGTGTGTGTGTGTGTGCGTGCGTGTGAAGGCTTCCCATAGTATAAACAAGTGGTGCTCTTTGGGTGGAAAGACAGGTTTTCTCGTCCATATTATATGAGTGATAAATGCATGCCCTAACATCTTTATCCATCTTTTATTCTGTTTGCCTGGTATTCGGAATTATTTTTGAATTTCTTTTTCGTTTCCACCTGATTCCAGATCAGTGTAGTTGTCTGGCACAGTGACTATTGTTGTATTGGCAACGCATTCTCACATGCTGGACGTGTGTGTGGGTGTGCGATCGATACGCCAACGCTCAATGTTCACTTTAATAATTTTAAAATGTGCCTTCACTGTCTTTGGGTTACTAGTACAGTCATGTAGGTCAGTGCTGATACTACCACTCATATCACACATGATAATTACATCATACTACAGAGTCTACAGTACAAGTAGTATTATTACGACTACGGCCGCAAGGTCGGGAGCCCCTTCGCAGCTTATTGCCGCCGGCTGTGCTGAATCGGGCAGAGGCGTGACCGTTCGCCTTTGCATGCCGGTAGGCATTCGTGTTAGGTAACGGTTTCATGTGAAGCTTTGCGTTCAATTTTGTATTTCAATTGAGTGTTCTATTTATTTCCGAAATTGGGTTGTCCTTTTGTTTTGACTCTTACTTCATGGTGTTGTGAATAAAACCGTTCTCAAGTAGTAGTATTATTACTACCACTGTAGTAGTATTACTACCACTGTAGTAGTATTATTACTACCACTGTAGTAGTTTTTTTTTTTTTGAGTCTGTAAAAGCCTCTTTTACGGGCGAACAAAACACAATTTGCCATGGCGGAGGATTGAAAACAAATCACATAATGATGACGTCGCATGTGATCAGACAGCAAGAGAAGCATAGCATAGTCCGCACAATCACGGGGCAAGGCTCAACGGGACACCCTAGCCTCCACGACAGCCAGGGAGGCACAGCCATCCATTGGAGGCTGCCAAACTCGGCGAGCCCCACGCAGACACATGACACTCGAACGCAGCAGGGCGAAAGACAGCCTGCAGCGGAGGTGGGCAATTAGCACAGAATACGCCTCCCTCCCACGTAGCGACTGGAGATGTGCAATCCGGCTCACCAGTGCAGCGGCACCCTTGCCGCATCCTCCGGTGGAAGAGAGCACAAAGGGGAGAAAAGTGGATCGCTCCACTTCTCGGACTCTCCGATCATATCGACGCCGTTTCTCTTGCTCATGTTGCCGGTAGCAGCCAGAGAGAGAGGAGGTGCGGTTCGAAGACGCATAAGGGTTGAACACCCGTACATCAATAAAAGTGCGTTCGAACCGACCCCCCCAAACTCCACTGGCCACCACATCCAAACGAGCTTGATCCTCGGTTGATGCTGACCGGAGCTGAAACTGCTCCCCAGTCAGGGGTTGGAGATGTGGCTCCACTGCGACGTTGTGGGCGACACCCTTCAATGAGCTTGCCAGTAAGTCGCGCACCTCGTTGTGGCGGATCGAGGGGAACCCACCGAAAGGACAGGACAAGGCGTGAGCAGTGGTGAATGCCTTCTCGCAAACACAGGTGGTGGGCAGGCGAGAAGGCGTCCAACCGTAACGGAGGCAGAGGCCATCCCGGAATTCCCCCTTCGACAAAGCGAAGCCATGGCGAGCGATGGGTCGGCAGGTAAGCCAGCTTGATGCTCCCTTCTCCTCTGCCAGACTGATAGCGAGATCGAGTTCGCTGTGTTCGGTGCGGAACGTATCGGCAGCTATCTTCATTGCCTTTCTGGCCTCAGAGCGAGCCTGACTCTTGGCCCTGCGGACACAGGCAAGAGCATCATCGAGGTGCTCTTCTTGCGCCATGATCTTGTCGTACAGCGCAGTGGTGATTAGCCTGGAGGTGCCGTACTGTGAGCCAAAAGTGGCAGGGTTGGCCACGCCGAGGCCTCCATGCCGGCAGGGGAAAGTGAGCAAAATGCGTTCAGCTTCACTGGGCGCCGTCCGTCCACTAATGGCAGGGATTAGGCGGCGGTGGATGATGTCCTCCAGGGGTGCCAGCTGTTCTGCAGCACCATCGAGAACCCGACACAGGAAGGACCACCGGTGTTGGAGGCTGTTCACCAGTGCAGAGTAAGCTGCTTGAGGCTGTGACCGGGCGAAATCTGTCAGCTTGCACAGCTCCTGCGACCAGGTGGCCACCTTGGAAGCCACAAACTCCTGCACAAACTGATCAGTTCCGATGGCTGATCCAAGGTGACGGCACCCGTCAGTGGTGATAGACACACCCGTGCCGGCGAAAATGGTCTCGGCTGCCTCTAGCTTGTCCCGCTTGACGACGAGGACGGACTTGCTGGGGTTAATGAAATACCCGAACGCCGGCCCATCCCCGACGAGTCGGTCCCACCACTGGCGGAGAGGGTTGAGCCCGCCACCCGCGGACGAGTCATCCGCATACCAGCTCTGGCGTGTTCCTGGGGTTGCCACTCTGCGCACCAGGGGGAGTACCCCCAAAGCGTACATCGGCATAGCAAGAGGATCTCCCTGCGTTGTGCCTTCTCGCGATAGGAGGCACTCCCCGTCCACGAATAGGCGGGCCGGCTGACGGTAGCAGTTTACGATAGCGGGTGTGATGGCTGGACAGAGGTGCGCTACGTTGCGCATACATGCTTCTCTGTTAAGGCGATTGAACGCATTGGATGCATCCGCCATAAGCACAGCGTCAACGTCTTCTTCATGGAACGTGTCGTGCATGGCGTGAATGGCCGCCTCAATGCCACATTCCTGGCCTCCGCACATCTGCAGTGACCCTGTCGCCTCACGAACAGAGTCCCCTGCCACGCTCAGAATAGCCTTGCCGATGATACGACGGACGGTTTCGCCGATGCCTATTGGGCGCACACCCGGTTTCTTATCTAGAGGGATAAGCCGGCATGCCGTGTAGGCTTCCATCGATGCTGGGTTGACGTACTGAGTGGCGATTCGCCGGGCACAGCTGGCGAGAGCATCACATAGGTCGTCTGAAATGTCCCCAAACGCTGTGCACATACGCCTCCAGCCATCTGCGTCCATCCCAGACGGCCCTGCAGAACCGGTGGTATGCAGTGCAGCTTGGCGCACAGCGGTCCTGTCCAGCTTGGTGAAGAGCACTGGGTGGGGCTGTGCTGGGGGTTGCCCTGGGAGGAGAGCCGCTGCTGTGACTGCCTCGCCCTGTGGGTGCTTACTGCGCAGCACATCAAGCACGGTCGTTTCTCCAATGGTGTCGTCAAGATCAAGAACTCCACCACCCATGTCGGGGGAGAGTTGACGAGTGGCTGCCGAGAGCCTGCCACGCTCAATGTCAGACGCAAATCTGCGTGCCGGGTCGACCGTGTGTCCCTCGTGCCGTGCGTTTCGCCTGCGGGCCTTGACGATCTGGTCTTGGATAGTCACGGATTCTTGGAGTAGCACCTGTACGTCTCCGGAATCCCACGAGGCAATGCGGCGCTCGATGCAAACCTTGTGAGCTGCTGCCGCTACGGTCCCGCCAGGTTTCTGAAGGAGCAACTGCTGCATTACCATCGCCGTTTTCAGGGCGTAGTCAGCTGCACCTGAGGAGTTGTTACCAAAGGCGTGCAAGTGTGAACTCAGCATACGGATAAAGGTTCGGCCCGTGCTGCCCATTGGTACGTCCAACAGGTTTGGGGCAAAATGAACTACCTTCTCGTACGCCTCGGATATCCGGTTGGATAACGTGGGACCGTCCAGATCTCCCATTCCGAGTGTGGGGTCCCGCAGGGGAGGATGGGGTGGCAGGTCCGGGATAACAGGATCAGCGACGTCCATTGTTGCTTGGGACATGTTGAGTGTGGCTAGCAGTCGGACATCGTGTGGATCTACGTCCCCACTCGCTGGTAGGTCAACTAGGTCCACTACGGTCACGGTGGCACGCTCCGCGTCCGCTGGCTCAGGCGCTTGGCTGGCAGTTTCGACATCAGCACTGTCATTGGTGTCAGGCGAGTTCGGCACCTGTACGGGTACTACAGTGCTACTGCTAGTACTGGCACCGGGAGGCGAGCTCGACCGGGCTGTGCGAGGTGGTCCGTGACGACCGTCTCTGCACTCTGCAAGTAGGGTGGTGGTGAGTACTGCGGCTGCACTCTCGGTGACTACTGGCTTGTGCACATTCGAGACATTTGGTACGGGTACGGAGTCTAGTGTCGTATCGGAAACTGCGGTTGCTCTGTTGTCGGAGCTTGTCGACGTCCTGCTGACAGTGTGGTCCGTTACCGTATCACGAACAGAGTTTCGTGCAGTTCCTACGGGTACGGTAGCTGTAGTCGTCGACGACGGTTGAGAAGACGGTTGGGATGTCGGGGAGCCGTTCCGGCATTTGTTCTTCTTCGAGGGGATACAATTCCGACACTTCCGACCCTCCTTCGTGCAATCGCACCGAACACAGGTGCCGTTGCCGTTGCACCGGCAACAAGTGGCACTCTGCATCGGCTGGTTTGCAGGAGAGGCACGTTGGAGTTGGAAAATCCACTGAAGACTACACTACAGAGCTCGAGAAACGCGTACCTACGTCAACATTCAAAAGTCGTAGTCGTAGTAGTGTAGTAGTAGTATTACTACCACTGTAGTAGTATTATTACTACCACTGTAGTAGTAGTATTACTACCACTGTAGTAGTATTATTACTACCACTGTAGTAGTAGTATTACTACCACTGTAGTAGTAGTATTACTACCACTGTAGTAGTAGTATTACTACCGGAATACGTCTGTGGGCCGCATTGATGCAGTTTCCTACTGTGCAACTGACCTCTTTCTTCCAATCATAGAGGTGGTAAAATTGATGACATTCGGGGGGGGGTTCTTCAATGATTTGCGTGTGTGTGTGTGCGTGTGTGTGTTCGTGCGTGCACATGTGTTTTTAAGGGGGGGGGGGGTGCGAGCAGGCACATGTGAATGCATGCCATGGCGCCAGTGTCCCTGAATATGGGTGACGAGTATAATAATGATACGTGCTCATATTTTCTCATTCATTCAATCAAATCGTGATAGAATCAAGCAAGGAAAATCACTGGCCAGGTCATCAAAATATTAATAATTATTGAGAGATGGTGCAGCAGAGCTCTATAGTAAAAAATTAAATGTTTTCTTATCATAATAATAATCAACCTGTCTATACTTAAATCATCATCAGAAGCACACAGCGACGACTCTCTGCTATAGAAAATGTTAAAAACGCAGCGTTTTTCCCCTAGATTGTAAGCCGACATGAGCATAGCATTATACTAGTGATGATCAGGGGGTGCAAGGGTGAAGCTAGTCACACTTCTCCCTAGTGAGCTATGAGTCGGTGATGCCGCGTAAAATAGCGGCGCTAATAGTCGTGTCAACAGTATTCCTATCTACCGTACTGCATACAAACCGGCCAACCTTTTCCGGCAAACGTGACATCGGGACAATGCCATGCCTAGGTATGAACATTGCATACAAATGCAGACGTGTGGGCATGCGACAAATGAATGTTTGGGTGCCTATGACCACCCTCAATATCGGGACGGTTGCCAGGTATGACACTGGCACTACAATAATTATCATGAATATAATATACAACTGTCTGCCCAGGCCATGTTCAAGCTAATGACCAGCCGCCGTTGTCGACCAGTTCTGAACAATGCCACGCGGTGCTCAGTGCGAGAAGATTTAGCGTTAGTGTTCATCAAGAGTACACAGGCTTCACTGTGCTGAATAGCACTGCATACAGGGGTGGATGTGTTGCCGTTCAGGGCGGAAACCGGCATGGTACGGAATTCAGACTCACGCGCACGCACACACCTACGCCCATTCTCGTGCCAGACCTGTTTCTTGCCGCGGCCCGGGATACGACTCTGGAGAGACGATCTTAAAATAGGGAAGATCGTTAAACACAGGCAGAGGCTCAGAAAGGTACACGGAGCATGTCGCTAAGCTGCTGCGGCCGAAGTTGGCAGCAGTGAATCCAGCGACTTGGCTTGAGCTGATATCGCTCAAGTCATTGAAGCAGATGTCCAACTCCTGTAGGTGTGTCCAGCACTGGCGGGCTGCTGTCAGTGCTGGTAGACACGATGACGTTAGTCCACACCGTGCAAGGCAGAGTATTCTCATGTGCGAGCACTCTCGACATGCTTGCAAAATCTGGGCGGCACCATGGTCTCCTAATTCCGGATTATCCTTCATGTCCAGAAAAAAGACCGATTTGATGCCAGCCAAGCAGGTTGCCAAGGCGATACCAGTGCCAGAAGTTAGACTACATGAGATCAAGGAGATCGCTAGCAGTTTACGGGGCTCCGATGTAATAGAGTAAGGCTCACAACGGAGAGTGTCGGTTGCTTCCATGCTGAAATTGTTGTTGCTGATATCCAACACCTCCAACTGCGTCCAGCGGAGAAGACCCACGATTATGGATGGCAGCGAAACTGCAGTCAAGCCGCACATCGACAATGTGACTAAGGTCATTTCCGTCCGGTTGTGAAGTACACGGCATATCTCCACAAAGGCATCGTCCCCGAGATCAGGATTATCTCCCAAATCAAGTTTACGAAGACTACTATTCTCGGCCAGTCCTGTCACCATGGCTACGCCTGTGGAGAAGGTCAAGTGGCATGATCGTAAACGTAGCGTTTCAAGCTGTTGGCATGACGGCATACTCTGCAGACGGCTTGGACCCGCATTTTCAGGAGCACGGAAATCAGTGCTGCTGAGATCCAGCTCTGTGAGATGTGACCATTGTGGCAAAGCCCCACAGAGAGAAGGCAATGGGAGTGCGACATACAACTTCCCCCAGATATTCAGCGTCGTCAAGCTGCTACTTGAAGTCTTGATGGCATTCATGACGATTTTAATGACAGAATCATCCGAACATCGCCCTACACGCAATTCCTGGATTCCAGAACATAGTGCCAAGGATGATGGGAACTGAGCTGCATTTGACGATGTCCAGTGGTCAACTGAGATGCTCTGGATCGCGGTGGATCGATGATGCTTCAGGACCGCGTCAATGGAACGGCAATCTGCTGGGTGGGCAGTCCCATTGATGTGGAGTTCTTGCGAGCGGAGCACAACACCAACTGATGGTAGTGGGCAATCAGCCTTTTTCTGGTGGACAGCAAACTCTGCGAAGCATGAGAATATAAGAGGCGAATTGAAGGAATACATATCCTTAATACACTGTCCACTCCAGTTCATGTGTTGGCCATGAAGTTTATCCTTGCAGTACTGTCTGAGTCCGGGGCTAACATTGCCCAATGACTGCAGGAGACTGCCAAGATTGGCATCTTCGACGCCATCCTGCCACTCCGAGAGGAGAACTCTTAGCCAGGCTACATCAGATGAAGCCCGGCCTTCTTTCGGGATCCTTGATATGACATAGTCACATGCATTGGGCCCACTAAAGGGATCACGGAGTAGCTCACCTGCAAGCTTAGGCATCAGCTCAGGTGTTAGTACTTCACTCAGAGGCAGGATGAAATTGAACGGGAACAAAGTAGTGCTAGGTCGGCTAAGGTCATTCAAAACGTATCTGTCAACTTGTAGAGATGATCCGTGCTTCATGAGTGCATTGAGAAGCCACTCCGCTTGACCAGCATTCAGCCGTGCACAGAGCAGTGTCCAGAACATTGTCAAATGACCGCTATTAGCACCAAGATTGTCGACAAGTTGAACAATACTGGCCTTGGTAATGCGTTGGTCATGCAGCAGCGCCTGTGACTGATAGATGGCTGCAAGATGCTCTTGGACAGTCAAGTGGCTGAAGCGATACTGCCTGACTGCATCCTTTGATAGAGACTCTTCGCAGGTTACCAACAGACCAAGACAGATGGCTTCTTCGCTCAGAGCATACTCCTGGACATTCTCCTCGCTAAAGATCAACTGCATTTTCGTCAGCATGCTGTACGCAAACTCCCCTATGTCCACGATCAGAACCCGTACGGCTTTCGGTATGGCAGTCCAGCGGCCGAGTTTGCGAGCGCATTTCCGCTCGGCGATCTGCACCACCATCTGCTCGAACAGATCAGCTATACACTGAGGGATGAAATCGTCAACATGGTACACCGTACAAACCTGCTTTGCAATGAACGGCGTGGCCATCATTCCACGCAGATAGTCCGATCGCTTTATCTCGGCAGTTAGTTGGGCAGCTTTTTCAGAACGGAGCACTTTGTTGACGTACATCTGAACATCATCTGGTTGAAACCCCACTAGCTCGATGTGCTGTTGAAAGTGAGGCATGGCAGACAAGCTGAAAACGTCCGGGCACGGGCGTGAAGTCACAATGAGGTGCACACCCGGCAGCTCTTCACCCTGAATCACGCCTTGCACAAAGCTACTGCATTCTGAAAAGTTGATCTCGTCCAGCCCGTCCAGAACCAGACACAAGGCGTCGGGCTGAGCTCGTACATACTCGCAGATCACTTGCCGATCGTGGCTGTCCTCGATTCCGATTCCTTCAAGACCAAGCAAACCGCTGAGCGACTTTGCCATTTTCACATCCTCATGATGCAGCTCCCTTGCTATAAGCAGTTTCTTGCGCTGGCATAGCTGTCCCATAGCCCACTTCAGTGGTGCCACCTTGGTGAACGCAAACGTCTTCCCACAGCCGGCACTAGCCACAGCTATTGTTCCCACCGTACTGCCTGGCTCTGCTTGCCGATTATCACTTGCCGCGTCTCCGATGACTGACTCCAACTGCACTGGCTGCATCGTCCGTCCAGCCTCGAGGAACACGTGCTCTGGGCGTCTGAAGTCAGAGCTGGAGTCTTCGCTTGGGACAAACACGTCGCTCAGACTACCCTTTGGCAGCATGAGCAAGTTGATTTGAACATTCTCTACAGTTGGGACCGTGCCCTCAGGCATCATCCCGGGGATAAACCGGTCCCTAGCACGGCGATAACGAGCGGCTAGAAGATCTTGGGCACGCTGCACCTGCGGCGGTGGCGGCACATCACCCTGCTCACCTTTTGCTGCTGCCACTGGCGGTGATGCTACTGGTGCTGCTGCCACTGGTGCTGCTGCTGGTGCTGCTGCTGCTGCTGCCACTGGTGCTGCTGGTGCTACTGCTGCTGCTGCCACTTCTGCTGCTACTGGTGCTGCTTCTACTGATGCTACTGCCACTTCTGCTGTTGTTGTTGCTGCTGCTGCTACTGCACCTGCTACTGCACCTGCTGCTGTTGCTGCTGTAGGGACTATTCTCAACGCATTACCTGCTGCACACGATGAGCTGCCTGCATCACGGAACAGGACGGTAAGACAACCAGGCAGCAGCATTGTTTTTAGTTACAGTACAACTTGCCAAGGCGACCACCTGTACCAGAAGACCACTGCAATCAGACCTGGGGATGCACCCTCCCCCCCCCCCCCAAACATTTCGACCTAGGTTCAGCATACACATAATGACCATGAATGACATGCACCAGCTATCCTACACATATGCGGCCGTGCACCCCCCCCCCCCCTAAAAGGGGGACTGGCTACGCCCCTGGTGGACGACGTCTCTCTCTGACCAGGGCTCTAAAGGGTTAAGGCCCTCGGTGTGCAATTTTTAGGAGATGAAGAATACTCGAATACTAAGAATATTCGATCGGAGAAAATCAGAGTATTCGAACTCGGTATCTCAATGCCAACTTTCACCCCCAGTGTACACGCACGTAGAACACCACGGGCATAGCTCGTGCATCTGTGGTTTAGTGACCATGTGTCAGACTGTACATCTGTGATGTGGTGACCATGTATCAGACTGTACATCTGTGATGTGGTGACTATGTACCATCGGCAGCCTCATAGGTGACATTTTGCCTATTTTGAGTATGTAGTACCCAGGACGGCCATTTTCTGGTGTGGTGACCGCACTACGCTGACCGAACATGAGCTACGCGCCTGAACACAATAGCTATCTTGTTGGGATTGGGGTAAAGGGAAGGAGGGCATGTAGCCTGGATTGGGGTACAGGGAAGGAGGGCATGTTGTCTGGATTGGGGTAAAGGGAAGGAGGGCATGTAGCCTGGATTGGGGCAAAGGGAAGGAGGGCATGTAGCCTGGATTGGGGTAAAGGGATGGATGGTATGTAGCCTGGATTGGGGTAAAGGGAAGGAGGGCATATAGCCTGGATTGGGGTAAAGGGAAGGAGGGCATGTAGCCTGGATTGGGGTAAAGGGAAGGAGGGCATGTAGCCTGGATTGGGGTAAAGGGAAGGAGGACATGTATCCTGGATTGGGGTAAAGGGAAGGAGGGCATGTAGCCTGGATTGGGGCAAAGGGAAGGAGGGCATGTAGCCTGGATTGGGTCAAAGGGAAGGAAGGCATGTAGCCTGGATTGGGGTAAAGGGGAGGAGGGTATGTAGCCTGGATTGGGGCAAAGGGAAGAAGGGCATGTAGCCTGGATTGGGGTAAAGGGAAGGAGGACATGTAGCCTGGATTGGGGTAAAGGGAAGGAGGGCATGTAGCCTGGATTGGGTAAAGGGAAGGAGGACATGTAGCCTGGATTGGGTCAAAGGGAAGGAAGGCATGTAGCCTGGATTGGGGTAAAGGGAAGGAGGGCATGTAGCCTGGATTGGGGCAAAGGGAAGGAGGGCATGTAGCCTGGATTGGGGTAAAGGGAAGGAGGGCATGTAGGCTGGATTGGGTCAAAGGGAAGGAGGGCATGTAGCCTGGATAGGGGCAAAGGGAAGGAGGACATGTAGCCTGGATTGGGGTAAAGGGAAGGAGGGCATGTAGCCTGCCACCTTAGAGCTACTGTAAAACCGGAAAATTTCGGTGGAGATTTATTTTCGGTAACTTCGGTGAAAGTAATTTTTACCTAAAAATAAAACTAGGGCTGAAACGATCGTGGATTTTCACCTATCGATTGCTCCTTAGCTTAACGATTGATTAATCGGCTATAATCGTTAGCAAATAGTGTCAGAATTTTGTGCAAAATTACTCTGTTTCCAAAAGCTAGGTCTTCTAAATACTAAAAATTTGCATTAGGCCATGGTAAAAAATATAGTTGATTCTCAGGTCATGAGCCTGTGAAAATCTTTGCGAGCGAGCGATTTCTTATTTTATTTCCGAAGATAGGGTCACACATAATGTACATGTACATGGTCACATGTTCATGCTTATATTCAGGCCAGGGAGTAGAAAAATACCGGTATTTTACTACTCCCTGATTCATGCCTTTCGCATTGACCGTTTTCATGCGCGCATATGCATGCATACTTCCTCCGTTAACAAAAACTTCGTGATGGATTTTTGAGGGACTGTTTAACAGTGGTTTGCGCACAAAACTGCCGTCAAATGAGTCGCAATCACTTTCTCGGCCTTCCCTGGCATGCCGCATGAAAGAGGTACGATGCAAGGGAAGCGACCTTTCACAAGGCGAGCGGAATCGATGGTTGCGCAGTGGTAACATAGGTAATGACAGTCATGGCGAGCGAAACTGAAATACCACTTCTCCGAGGGGTAATGCACTGCTTGTCCTCTCTGCTACTCTAGCACTGACTCGACGGTTTGAGAGTCATAGAGAGATCGATGGAATGGAGCAGCGAGCCCACACAATGAGCGAGTGCACAAGGAGCCACTCCGATCGCACGACCGCGCAATGAAATAATTCTGAACTCCAGTTCTTGTTCAACCTGCGCAAAGCCCAGATTCGAATGCTGATAACCATGCATTCTTTCAGAAGTATGCAGTCCAACGCGAGTCTCGTGGCTAAAGAAAGTCGACTGGACTTGCTAGCCGCTGCTGTTCAGTGCTGGCAGGGGTATCCATCAGAGAAAATGGAATCCGTTTGGCTGTGCCTTTACTCTTCGTTTCAAGGAGTTCTGGAGAGCGAAGATGAAACCAGGGAGCCATAAAATATTTTTTGGACTCCCTGGTGGAAACGAGTAATCGCCACCGCGGCGGGACACGCAGCTTGAAAGCCAACTTACTTGAACGACGGCGACATCAAGTTCAGCGCAGTGTGATCAAAGAAGCCGAGGCAAGGCTGAAACGAGCTGAACAACGATTTGAGAGAGATGATGACTCGCGTGCAGCAGATGACGACAGCGACGCAGGGTCAAAAATGAGTGGAGCGAAAGCGACGCAAAATGAACTCTCAGCTCATTCCGCCAACAGTTTCTCTTGTAAACACGCTGTACATACAATGTAGGCTGACCTACCTTCGTCCAGTGATTTGCACTCGATACCAACTGTTCTTGACCTGTTCTAATCGTTTTCTTATCCATCAAAATCCATCACGAAGTTTTTGTTAACGGAGGAAGTAGAATTTAAAAAATCGTCGGTGCGGCTCAAAAAATCGGTGCGCGCGTACTTGAGGATCAAAGATAAGTTTTACCATGGCCTTAATGACAGGGTAGCTCAGAAACATGGCAGTTATAAAGTCAATTTAACCTCAGAATATGCACCATGCCCCTGGCAAGTGCATAATCACAGTGGAAACTGATTCAAACCGTACAAAAACGAGGGTTTTCAGTACTTTTTGGACTCAAAATTCCTAGCGCGTAATCTTTAACGTAACGACTACTTGATTGATAAGGAATTATCGATCGCTTACCGAGTAATTGGTATAATCGTTTCAGCCCTAAATAAAACGCGACCTAAAATTTAATTCCACACAGCCATGCGCTCCCCTCCCCCCCCCCCCCCCATGCCACACAGTGTGCAAAATGCATTTTTTGGATCTGGAAAAATAGTTTACCGAGATTTTCGCGCTACCAAATCGCTGATTTTGGGAAATACCAAAGTATGACACCAGCGAAAGTTCCCAGGGTTGCAGTATCTTGTTGGGGATTGGGGCAAAGGCAAGGGCGTGTAGCCTGTCACCTTACAAAGGGAAGGGCGTGTAGCCTATCACCTTACAAAGGCAAGGGCGTGTAGGCTGTCACCTTACCTGCATCCAGCTGAGGACCCGGCCGCCGAAGAAGTTGAACCATTTGCTCATGCCTGTCAACGTACCCGAGTGTCTTGACGACACTACACAGCTTCTGGTAAGCACTCGGGCCTTCGGCGACGATTGATTCGACAAGCGCTTCGTTGTGATCCGCACTACCAATGTTGGCCAGAGTCCGTCTCAGTGTGGCAATCGTAGCACGATCCGTGATGAGGTGAGCCCGTATGGCCGCAGTGCGCAGCCTCTCCGGAGGCACTGTATTCAGCCATGGCTGAATGTCACAGATGAACGTTTCCGAGTCAAACGGGTTACCAGCTGGCAATGCAAGCAAATGCAAAGCACATAAAAAAAAGCTTGAAGCACACAGCACTGTGATAACTCAACAGTGGTGTGAAATGAAATCCAGGCCACAGTTCTGTTGGACGCCGAAGAACAGAGCGCCGAAGACCGACCAGGCTAGAATTTCACCAAGCACAGCATACCAATGTATACACGGTGACCCAACAGTGCATAGACTGTAATACATGGAAATAAGAAAAATAATGGTCTAGGCTAGGAGGCTGACCCCCAAGTTCTTCATGTATCGACATTACTGTAATTGCAGCAACAGCAGCAGCGGCAACAGCAGCAACAGCAGCAGCAACAACAGCAGCAGAACCACTAGCAGCAGTAGCAGCAGCAGCAACAGCAGCAGTAGCAGCAGCAGCAGCAGCTACAGCAACAGTAGAAGCAGCTACAGCAACAGCAGCAGCGGCAGCAGCAGCAACAGCAGTAGCAACAGCAGCAGCGGCAGCAACAACAACAGCAGCAGCAGCAGCAGCAGCAACAACAGAAGCAGCAGCAGCAGCAGCAGCAACAACAGCAGCAGCAGTGAACAGTACTAGTGAGCAGCAGCACCAGCAGCAGAACCAGTAGCAGCAGTAGCAGCAGCAGCAACAGCAGCAGTGGCAGCAGCAGCAGCTACAGCAACAGTAGCAGCAGCTACAGCAACAGCAGCAGCGGCAGCAGCAGCAACAGCAGTAGCTACAGCAGCAGCAGCAGCAGCAACAGCAGCAGCGGCACCAGCAGCAACAGCAGGAGCGGCAGCAACAACAACAGCAGCAGCAGCAGCAGCAACAACAGAAGCAGCAGCAGCAGCAATACCAGCAGCAGCAGTGAACAGTACTAGTGAGCAGCAGCACCAGCAGCAGAACCAGTAGCAGCAGCAACAGCAGCAGCAGCTACAGCAACAGCAGCAACAGCAGCAGCAGCAGCAACAGCAGTAGCAACAGCAGCAGGGGCAGCAGCAGCGGCAGCAGCAGCAACAGCAGCAGCGGCAGCAACAACAACTGTCATGTCCTGGACATGGACCATATGTATGTAGTGCGCATGCTCGCACGTGAGCTGGGTCTTTTTCGGATATGGAGTTTGAGACGAACTGAAATCTGTAATGGCCTCGAGTGTGTGTGTGATCGAGCTGGATGAGTCCGAGTAGAACCCACCTGGGGCAGGACACAACAACTGGCGACGAAGATATGGCTCGGATATCATCGCTTCAGCCGTTTACCGGCGGCGACTTTGAAGAGTTTGAGGAAAGACTTGAATTCTATTTCTTTGCCAATGATATTGGAACCGTGGCTGCTTCGGCCAATGCTGCAGACAAGTTGGCTGCCAGCAAGAAAAGGAAGGCTGTATTAGTGAGTTTGCTGTCTGCGGAAGTCTACTCGATTTTGAGGAGCCTCTGTCTGCCAGCGAAAGTAGCTGACAAGAAACTGTCGGAGATTTGCGATCTTTTGAGGAAGTATTTTCAACCTGCAATTTCGCAAGTTTCGGCGACGTTCAATTTCCATCAGTTGAAGCAGAAGGAAAATGAGTTGACTGCGGATTTCATCATTCGTCTGAAGAGATTGGCTGTGAGGTGTGAGTTTGCTGATCACCTCGATCGAGCGCTTCGAGACCAGTTTATTGCTGGCTTGAGCAGCTCATCCACTCGAAATTTCTTATTGACGAAAGAAGATACTTCGGCACAGTCGTTCAATGACATCGTCAAACTAGCTTTGACGCAGGAATCGGCTGCGCGCGCGGCCGTGCAGCTGACCTCTCAGCAGGAAGTGCACAAGGTGAATCACCGGCCAGCGGAATCGCGTTCGCAGGCGCAGTCTGGTGTTTCTCGTCAATCTCATCAATCTCGAGAGCAGAGATTGTGCTACCGCTGTGGGTCTACTCAACACTTGGCGGATAAGTGCAAACACAAGGCCACTGAGTGTCGTCACTGCCACAGGAAGGGGCACTTGGAGCGTGTTTGTCGGCAGAAATCTACGTCAGGCGCGTCGGTGCACAATGTTGTGACTGATGACGCAGGTGAGCATGAATCTGCTGATCTTGAGTGCATGCCAATGTTCCACATTTCGGATCAGGGCGAATTGAAGAGCAAATCTGTGCCCTCCTACAAATTGGAAATTGCTGTGAATGATGTTCCTGTTGTAATGGAAATCGACACGGGCAGTGGCATTTTAATCATTTCTGTCCATGATTTTGAGTCACTTGGGGTGTCTCGTACAAATTTAACCAAACCGAGTGTACGCATGACCGGTTTTTCTGGGGCAGAAATCAAATGTATTGGTGAAGGGAAGTTCAATGTCAGCATTGATGGTGTGGAGAAACCAACACTACTCCGTGTGGTGGATAATGGTGGTCCGTCATTGTTGGGCAGGGATATGTTGTCCCAATTTACTCTACCGTGGAAACAAATTGTCAATGTCAATCATGTTCAAATGGATGGTAGGAGGAGAGCTCTCATTGAGGAATTTGAGGAGCTATTCGATACGACTCAGGTTGGCAAGCTGAGGTCGGCTCAAATCACCCTGAGAGTGGATGATTCTGATCCAATTTTCCACAATGCGCGTCCCGTACCGTTCTCTATCACGGAGAAGTACGAGGAGGCTTTGGAGAAATTGGAAGCAGAGGGAGTTATTCGCAAAGTTGAGCACTCCAAATGGGCATCGCCTACTGTGCCAGTACTGAAATCGGATGGTAGTATCCGAATTTGTGCTGATTACTCTCGCTCAATCAATGCCAAGTCTGATTTGGAGCACTACCCGCTACCTACTATTGAGGAAATGTTAGCGAAATTGTCGGGGGGAGATAAATTCACCAAATTGGATCTCTCCCAAGCCTATCACCAACTGGAGCTTGATCCAGCTTCTCGGCCGTACACAACAATCTCTACTCACAAGGGGTTGTATGAATACGTGAGATTGCCGTTTGGCATTCACTCGGCAGTGGCAATTTTCCAACGCACAATGGAATCCATATTGGCAGATCTGCCTGGGTGCATCGTCTATGTGGATGACATCCTGATTACTGGGAAGGATGAGGATGAACACCACAACAACCTGATCAGGGTACTACGTCGCCTACAGGAGGTCGGGATGAAGCTTAATCCCAGTAAGTTTCATTTCATGATGGATGAGATTTCCTACCTGGGTCACACGATTTCTAGTGCTGGTGTGGCTCCCACAGCGGATAAGATTGAGGCAATGCGGGACGCTAAGGCTCCTTCGAATGTTATCGAGCTTCAATCATTCATTGGAACGGCGAATTTCTTGCGACGGTTCATACCTCATTTCGCAACAATAATGGTACCTCTGTACAATCTGGTGAAGAAATCTGCTGAATGGCAATGGGACCCCGGAATTTCAGTGCGGCCAAGCTGTCCTGGCTTTGAATTTCGGCAAAGGAGGAGATAAGTGGGCCCCAGCCGTGGTCACGGCAGTTCTCAGTCCGATGACGTATCAGATACAAGTCGGTGATGCAATGTGGAAACGCCATCGCAACCAGCTCCGTCCTCGGCAAATCCCTCAGTTCGATGCAGGGGCGTCTGAGCAGAGTGGAGCAAGTTTAACAGCTCAGGTTCCGTCACAGCCGTCACTCAGCAACAACGACGCCAGTGTCACGGCAGCGGAGCTAGGCGCGCCGGTCTCAGCAACAACCGGTACTAGTGAGTCTGCGTCGGTTAGCACTTCACGTGCCAGCTACAGCAAGACGTCGTCACCGCAAGCTGAACGACGGTCAACCCGTGCTACTGCTCGACCAGTTCGTTTCAAGGATTGACGTTCAGAACACACAGTTCATATAGACCTACTCTAGTCTGTGGAGTTTTAATGATATATTTTGGACTCTGCTGGATATTGTATATAATTATATATTTATGGTGTATATATGGTGTATAGTGTATCATGAAATATTATGTCTCGGCAGTTGTGAGTTTTGTGATTGCATCTTGATATGTTTACTATTGCATAGTTCTAGATGCTTCGCCTCAACTAGTGAGGGGGAAATTGTCATGTCCTGGACATGGACCATATGTATGTAGTGCGCATGCTCGCACGTGAGCTGGGTCTTTTTCGGATATGGAGTTTGAGACGAACTGAAATCTGTAATGGCCTCGAGTGTGTGTGTGATCGAGCTGGATGAGTCCGAGTAGAACCCACCTGGGGCAGGACACAACAACAACAGCAGAAGCAGCAGCAGCAGCAACAACAGAAGCAGCAGCAGCAGCAACAACAGCAGCAGCAGTGAACAGTACTAGTGAGCAGCAGCACCAGCACCAGAACCAGTAGCAGCA